AGTGTGGGGCATTGACTTTCTGATCTTTCTCTGGTCAAATGATGAGAATTTTTTAATTAAACTTTTTGGCTCTACTGGGCCTTCATTGCTTTGCTCGGGCGTTCTATAGTTGCGGTGAGTGAGGGCTACTTTCTAATGGCTGTATGCCGGGCTTCCCATTGCAGTGGCTTTGCTTTCAGAGCATGGATTCTACAATGCCTGGGCTTCAGTAGTTGCGGTACATGGGGTTAATTGCCCCTCAACATGTGGAATCTTCCCGGACCATGGGTCAAACCTGTGTCCCCTGCATTGGTAGGCAGATTCCTTGTTGTTGTTATTTATTTACTTTGGCAGGCAGATTCTTAACCGCTGGACCACCAGGGTAAACCAGTGATGAGAATTAATCAGGAATTTCTCTCAAGGGGTAGAAGTTAAGTAGGTAGTTTGTTCAGAAAAGATTTGTGGATCTTCTTTTCCACCCAAGGTGAAGGGCAGATCTAAGACCATCACTCCAGTGGTGACAAGTGTTATTTTATTTTAGGTTTTCTGTACCGAAGAACTGAGTGAGATCATTATACCGGAATCCTGGCTCTGGGAGAATTGGGTTAATTCCTCTGAAATTGGTGGAAGCGGGACGTGTGACCTAACAAACTTTCCACTACTGCCCTGCAGGCATCCTACCAGGGTGCTGTATGGCTTGTTGTGTGTATCGTCAGGGGGCCATTAGCTTGACACCATCTAGTTGTAGGTCCCAATTTGCTGCTTCTCTGGCTACACGTTCAGCCACCTCTTTTGGCAGATGGTAGGCCAGCGTTGGGTGTGGTTCATCAACCTCTTCATTCATCAGTCTCTTCTCTGATGAGGATTTCTGGTTCCCTGGTGGGTAGGCCTTGACGTAGGAACTTAGAAACGTCATAGAACCTGGAAGAGAGTCCGTATGAGGCTTCCTGCCTGGACCCTCACATGCCTACTGGCTTGTCCAGGATCCACCATCCATCCAATGTCCTGTTCTTTTATTAAAAAAATTTTTTTTTGACAATGCTGCGTGGCATATGGGATTGAACCCATGCCCCCTACAGCACAAGTGTGGAGTCGTAACCCCTGGATTGTCACGGAAGTCCCCAATGTTTTATTCTTTATTTTAAAAAAATATATTTTCTATTTATTTGATAAACAGTGCCAGGTCTTATTTGTGCCAGGTCTTAGTTGGGGCACACGGGGTCTTCTTTTAGTTGTGGCATGCAAACTCTTGTTGCAGCATGTGGGATCTAGTTCCCTGACCAGGGATTGAGCCCATGTCCTCTGCACTGCAAGGGGAATTCTTAACCACTGGACCACCAAGGAAGTCCCTCCCTGGCTAATTCTTAAATAAAATTTTTATTTTATAATCGTTGTAGGTTTATAGAAAAGTTGCAAAGGTAGAGAATTCCCATATACCCACAAGTAGTTTCCCCTATTATTAACATTTAATGGTACACCTGTTATATTAACGAAACAATGTGCTGTGCTGTGCTAAGTGGCTTCAGTCATGTCCGACTCTTTGTGACTGATGGACTATAGCCTGCCAGGCTCCTCTGTCCATGGTATTCTCCAGACAAGAATCCTGGAGTGGGTTGCCATGCCCTTCTCCAGGGGATCTTCCCAAGCCAGGGATCAAACCCACGTCTCTTATGTCTTCTGTATCGGCAGGCAGGTTCTTTACCACTAGCGCCACCTGGCAAACTCCAATGAACCAATACTAACATATTAGTAAATAAAGCTCATACTTCATCTAGATTTCCTTAGTTTTTACCCTGTGTTCTAAGATGCCATCCAGAGTAATTGCATTTCTTCATGTTTCTCAGGCTCTTCTTAGATATGACAGTTTCTCAGACTTCTCTTGTTTTTGATGACCTTGACAGTTGAGGACTCCAAAGACACTTTGTAGAATGTCCTCATCTGGGGTTTGTCTGAAGTTCTTCTCATGATAAGACTGGGGTTATGGACTTGGGGGGTAAAGGCCACAGACAGAGGCAAAGTACCGCTGTCATGACGTCATATCAAGGGCATCTCCTCTCAATATGTTGAATCACTGGTGATTTTGACCGTCACCTGGCTGAGGTCATGTATCTCTGGCTTCTCCACTATGAAGTTCCCCAACCCGTTCCATTTCCATACTGTGCTTTTTGGAAGGAAGTCACTATGTGCAGCCAACATAGTATCCTTTTTAACACATCAGATCTTGCTTTTCCTCTTATAAATTCTCACTTATTAGAGGCATTAATTGCTACTGAGTCCATATTTCCCCAAACATTTGATTTTAATGTTCTTTACACCAATACCAAACATTTATATAGCAAAGATGAATAATAAAGGCATGATTTGAGAGACTAGTTCTCTTAATACTTCCGAGAACTCAAAACTAATGTCCTAAGAAGGCCTTTAAATACCATAATAGCCATTTTTTAGGAAAAACTTAAAACCATATTGCAGCTATAAGACCAACGGAATTATTCTGAATGCTTCCCTTTGTCTCAAGGAAAGTTATCAGAAGAAATAGGATCATTTCAGTTCTCTTTAGAAAGCTTATTTTAAGAAGAGTCTTGGATCTTAAATATAATTTCCTCACGACTCTCTGAAGTTCCAAAAAGGGAAGCATGATTGTTAATGTTATATTTGTCCCTTTGTCATAGACGGGGCTATTTTCAGACTAGATAGAATGATCTGTGCTTTGTGCAGACTTCACAGTACATTGAGGGCTGTGGAAGAACCACCCTGAGTGCACACGTGGCCATGTAATAGGACTTGAAACATGTTGTTACACTTGTGTAGTACCGAAGACCATCTGAAGTTTTCTATTTTTGCTCTATGACCTACTTATTAGAACCATGACTTGTTTGATGCTGAGTTTCTGGACATGAGTGGTTATTAAGAGAAAATATGACTTTTTTTTTTTTTAACAGAATGGTTCCAGGAATACATTGTAGGGGAAAAGGATAAGTGTTTAAAATATATTGTTAAAATGCTCCCTGTGTTGAGAAACCTTTGTGCAATCCCTGACTTCATAATAAATGGGACATTTTGTGAGGATGTTCCATTATTCTCCTTTTGCCCTCTTCCCTTTGATCAAATGCCACGGTCGTATATGCGACTGGCCATACTGAGTCCAACATCTCTTGAGGACAGTGTTCCATCTCTGAGTGACTCTCACCAGCTCCAACTTACCCACCTTATTTTATTTTTTTTTGAAGGGAAGGATTTTTATTTGTTTTCTTCACTTCTGTGATCGATACATATAGGTCTCAGTAAATTAGTGTTAAGTAAATGTATTCATTTTACATGTAACAAAGGCTGTGTGCCTCCTCAGTTGGTTTAGTCATGTCCCACTCTTTGTGACCCCATGGACTGTAGCCTGCCAGGCTCCTCTGTCCACGGGATTCTCCAGGCAAGTATACTGGAGTGGGTTGCCATTTCCTTCTCCATACCCACCTTATTTTACCCATGAGCATTTTGAAAAAGAAGAGTAATGAGGGAAGTAACCTTATCAGATATTGGAACAACTTATAAAGCAAAATAATTAAGATAATGATGTATTGGTGGAGATACAGACCAATAAATAGATTCAAGAAAGAACTCCAATTCAAATGGAATTTCACACATGATAAAGGTACCATTTCAAAATAGCTGGGGAAAGATAGTTATTCACTAGACAATGTTGAGAGGTGGTGGGAGGGAGAAACCTGGATCTTGACCTAATTCCTTACACATAGTATTGAATTCCACTTGGATCCAAAATTTAAACTTAATAAAATTAAACCATGAGATACCATTATAAAGAGTTAGCATTTTAACAGTTCTTGAATGGAAAAAGTATAAAATTATGCAAAATTTAGAAGTTAAAAAACAAAAATGCAGTAACCTCTGTTTGATTTAAAGACACACATGCATGCACACACGCAAACTCAAAAGACAAATGCCAAATCTGAAAGGCTATCTGCAACCTTTTCATACACGAAGGGCTAACATTTTCAGAGGGTACAGATGTTCTTTGAGTGGGGAAAATAAAACAAAAGGCAAAAAACAGGAAAAGACGCCTAACTGTACAGTCAAATGTAAATCATTTCTGTCCCTCTAGGCTAAAAACAAAGAAACTTCTGCAGGTGAGAAGTTCAAGGCCACCTGGGCCAGGCACCTTCTTAGGTTCACTGTGCCCTCTTTGGCAGGTGGCCATCCTCCTCCACGTGTTTACAGAAGGGCTGCTGTACCTCCAGGCATCGTGACCATGATCCGCCAGAAACAAGGGGGCAGGTAGGGGAAAGGCCAAAGGCTCTTGCTCCAGAGTCTGCTCCCTGTCACATGTGTTTCTTGGAAGCCCGATTCTGATCCCATCTCCTTTGCTAGAGCTGTCCTGGGGCTGCCTGGAAGGATGGGGAAGTGATTTTTTAAAAAATTTTATACTAAGAAGTGTACCACTTCGGGATTTTCACTAGGTGAACACGCCTGTCTGACCAGCACCCAGATCAAGAAACAGTGGCTCCTTGCAACTGCCCACATGCTCTCTCCCAGTCACTAGAGAAGGTGAGCATTTTTAATGGGCACCTTCTCACTGTGGCCAAAATTGGGTTAAGAAAGAACAAAAGAATATCAGAGACCAGCAGTCTGTCACACCCATCACTTTATATATTCACCCCAAAGGCACTCTTATCATCGATCTGCTCAAATCTTTCATTCTCAGTCCAAGAAATTTTATATTTTAAGAGACAATGGCTGAAATTTACATTTCCTCTAATTTCATAATGTGAGCCTGGGACCAGGAACACCTGGCCTGAATGGGAACTTTCTGCAGTCATAGATTCATAGGCAGTTGCATCGAGATGGTCCCTGGGGGACACTGACCAGGTCTGAGTTTTGAGGTATCTGTGAATACAAAGACATCCTGGAGAACCCGTCCCATGAATGGGATGAACATGAGAACATTTGCAATTCATACACATTTTTTAAGAGGTGAGAAAACCCACAAGTAAGATAGGTATGGCCAAATCTTAGAACAGAATTCAGAATTTATTCCTTATTACAGTACACATTTTGGAGAAAACATCTTTCTTATGAAACAGAGGCCACTTTTCTCCGGGCACCCCACCTCCCCAACATTCTGATGTTCATCTTGGAGAGAATCCTTTTGCAGGAGGCATACAGCAGCATCCTGATACCAGCTAATTCACATGCAGCAGAAACTCTACAAATGCCGTAACTGTAAGGGCTTTCGGGAAAAGCAAAGCTCATTCAACGTCAGAGAATTCACACTGGAGAAAAACCACATGCGCGTCATAGCTGTGAAAGCGCTTTTAGATGGTGCTCAGAGCTAATTAGACATCTGGGATTTCAGAGTGGATAGGAGCCCTGGGAGCAGAAGGGATGAGGAAGAACCTTCAATCAGAGTTCCAGCCTCGGACAATGTGGGCTGATTCACGGGGACAGGAAGCAGGCGTGTGTGCTGAATGGGGGAGGCCGTCCGGGGGAGGTGTGGGGTACACCGCACTCATTCACGCTGGAGAGCAGCCTGTGAGTGGAACCAACGTGGAGCAGCATCTTTGGAGAATTTACAGGAAAGAAACACTCTCATTGGAAACATTGTGGGAGAGCTTTTAGCCAGTAATCAGACTAATTCATTCTGGAGAAAAGCCTTGATTGTGGAGAATGAGGAAAAGCCTTCAGGTCTTTTCCTTATTGGATTTCAGAGAATCTTCAGTGATAAATGGGGAAGCTTTGAGGAGGGGAGGGGGCTCAGGGTTTATTGTCAATTAAAGCGTGAATTGCATTAAGCAGGGGCTTAAACTTTATAGATTCTTCCACTGCAACCAAGATTTCCATTTCATTCTCTGTCTCATAGAATATATATATATATATATTCTAGAATATCTAATGACTTAGGAAGATAAGCTTATAAACTTGCTTTTATAAGCTTAACTTCTATTCTTGGTAGATATTCAGTCCAGTTTTGCTGAATGAATGAAGTAATACAACAGGCAAACAGCAGAGTCAGCCTAGTCTGAACCTTCAAGGGCAGGACACCATAAATTGTGGAGGGTGTGAAAGGACTGTGTTGAGGGGGAGAGGCTTACTGGCAGGATCTGGAGGTTACAAATTCTACCCTAACTGCAACACATTCGTGTTTGGCCCCCATTAGCTTGAGGAACTTCTATGGGCCATGTCTCTTTACTGCTGAAGACTATTTTGAGATGGGAAAAGAGGGAGGCCAATTTTTCTCCAGTTCTGAATGCATCTGACAGCTACATGAGGAGGATACCAGTTTCACTTTGTTTTAAATTTAAAACTAGACATTTAAAGAGGAAGGGCTAGAGTTCCTAAGTTCAGTTCCTCTTTTCATGAAGCAAGGGTCAGGCACATTTTCTTGTGTTGAAGCAACACAAAAACCACATTATGTGATGAAAATTGGATCAGGAGAAAGGTTCATCTAGTCCTTATCCACCAACTGTGTTCTCACCTTCCAACCAAACTCCTTATCCCTAGCCTGGGATTCTAAGTCTTCTAGGAGACATCCTTGCTTGCCACTATATCCATTCCGCAGTAGAGGAAGAAGCGATTCAGGTCCTGTGCGTTTCTGGCTCCTGACTTTGCTTAGAGAAGATAGGAAGGAAAGGTAAAGGAAAAAGGGCCAGGTGGCAAAGGGACAAAGCATGGAGAATGCGGGAAGTGGCCTCAAGTCAGGGCACCCTATTCCCCAAAGGACATGAAATGTCACTTTCATGGCTGGAGAGTAACGAAAAAGCCTGGTTTTCCATCAGTTAAGTTCTGGCTGCCATACACTGCCTTCATCTCGTACATGGGGCTCGTAAGACCCTGCCGTGTGACAATGGCCTCCTCTAGAACTCATCCAGCCTAACTCACCATTTGCCAATTCCAGCTTGCTTCTCCTTCTGCCACGGCCTTCTGACCCATGCTCAGGCTCTGCATCCAGAGACTAACACCCACCCCCCACCCCTTCCACGCTGATTTGTTCTAAAGTTCCTCGTGGAGCCGCAATTTAGAAGACCCAGGCTCGTACATCTGAAACTGTCCTGAATCTATCTTGCCTCATCAGTGCCCTGTAGGCTCCGGGAACCAGAACTAAGTGCTCAAGCTGCTTGCCTGTGTGGGCTATGACCGATCTTGACCTGTATTTCCTACCATACAATTAAGGTTTCCAGTGGCTAAATTGGGCTGATTTTCCATTTGGAGCTGTACCAAGAGCTGTGGGGGCTCTGAGGAGTTGATGACAGGGAAGTTCAGAGGAGTGCTGTATTGGCTAAGAATGCCTTAGGCTGCAAACAGCAGAAATGTGCTTAGAAAATAAAGACAGTTCAATTTAAAGATCAGTAAGACTGGAAGTAGGTGGTTCCAGGATAGGTGTGGTGGCTCAACGGTATCATCGAGGCCCTAGGCTTTTTCTTCTGTCTACTCGGCCAACCTTGGTATGTTGGCTTTCTGCCTTGGTCTTGTTGACACCTGGTCTCAAAATGGCTGCCACAGCTCCAAGTATCACATCTCAAACATCCCTGTTCAAAGCAGGAGGAAGAGATGGGCCTCTTCATTCTCCTTTAATCAGGAAGCAAAATCTTCCCAGAAGGTCCCCCAGCCACTTCCCTATGCAGAACTGTCGCATGCCTGATTCTGAGCCAGACAGCAGACAGACTAAGTAAGGAGCCTGCTGCAATGATACACATGGGCAAGGAGGGCCTGGCGAGCCCTGGGGAGGCTCTAGGGCTGGCTCCTCCCTCTGCCTTTCCTGGAGCCCTGCCTCTAATCTGGACATCCTTTATCTTCTTCCCAAAGAGGCTCATTAATCCCCCAACGTTAAGTATTGTTTTGCCTTTCTTCAATCTCCAACCTTCCACCTCAGTGTACTTCCAGCCAACACCTGGCCCTAGTTGCCCTCACGACCTCCTGTCACACACTGCCTATGCAGTCTGATTTGGAGGTTCAAATTTCCTAAAAGAGGAATCTGCCTGGCCTGACTGGCTTTCCAAATACTCACTGAGTCAGGGGACTTCAAAAGTTGTTGACCAGTGTACACAGATCCTGGGTCACTGACCTGCATGAGTGAGTGAGTGGGTGTGTGTGTGTGAGAGTGTGTGTGTGAGTGTGTGTGTGTGTGTGTGTGTGTGTGTGTGTGTGGTGCGAGGAGGACAGAGGCAGAGTCATGTGATGCAACACAGCCACCTGGGCTGAACGAGGCGGGGTATGGGGGTGAGGCAGGACAGAGGGCGTGGACAGTGGCTCCTGGAGCCCAGGGCAACAAGATAAGGAAATTAGGCCAGTCTACTAGAGAGACGCCAGGTGGACACAGGAGGGAAAGGCCATTGTGTACATTTCAGTCCCGTTTCAGTGGATGCCAAGTGGAGAAGAGAGGAATCTGGTTGGCAGACGAATCAAGGCCCTTGACCTGTGACTGCAGCTGAACCTGCCCAGCCGGATCCAGTTGTTCAGGTCACTCACTCTGAGGGCCCGTTACTTGACTTACAGAATGACCAGCATAATCAGTTTCTTGAGTCTGCCCTGATATATCCCCTGAATTCCCACAGGAGAAATTCCAGGGACTGCTAGTAGGAAGCCAGGCTTTCTCATGAACATGGCTTTAATAGGGCCTGGCAGCATCTGGCAGGCCACGGAAGAGACTGGAGAAGCAGGACTAACTCAACATGATACCACGTAACGGGGACAGAAAATGGACTGGTGATTCCAGCAAAGGGAATGAAAAATCCCACAACACGAAAATGAGGATGTGCAAAACCTGGATTCTAAGCCTCGCTCCTCTACTTCTTTTGGGCAGTTTACTGCACCTCTCTAGGTCTTAGTTTCTTCATCTGTAACGTGAGGATAGAAACATCCCATTTCAAGGGTTGTTGGGAGGATTAAATGACACCCTGTGTGTAAAGCACTAAACGCATGTGAGTGACTGCTATCCTCAGAGCCTATCACATGCTCAGGTGGGACCGAGCCCCAGGGGAGAGCCTGCTGGTTGGCACCCATCAAAAGACCTTGCGTGGCATGGCGGTTGTGATGGGGAGCTCCACTGGGGCCCCCCATGGTGGTGAGTGGGGCTGGGGGTGACTTTGCACCCCATGAAGCACTTGACAGCTTTCCTTCTAGTTTCTGGAGTGATTTCCTAGAGGCCCTTGGAACAGCTTTCACCTAGCCCCCCAGGAGTTAAGAGTCTCTAACTTCGCAGAGCTTACAGTCCCTGTCCCTCCAGTCCCCTCTCTCCCAACAGCCTTTCCTGGTTTAGCCATTTCAATCTCCTCTGCCTGTTTCTATCACTTCCTACTCTATTTGTTCCTTGGATAGGCCCTTCGAGGAGTGATTTGAGAGGGTATCTGGAGATCTACTACAAGTGACGTTCCAGCTCTAAACTCCCAGGACAGTAGCACAGAAACCCAGTGACCAGCTGTCCTCCTGCCCAGAGACCGCCACGTGAGCTCATGAGCCTCTGGTAAGCAGGCAAAGAGGCGGCTGGCAAGGACCCTCCCTTTTTCTCCTTAATGCTCCATGATCTACTCACCGGGTTCAAGGCTTTCCTGGGTTCAAGTTTTAGCTGTTCAGAGTAGCCTTGGCTTTCTAGGAAACGCAGTTCTGATGGGCAATGCCAGATCCAGGGACTAGCACCTCCAACATTTCTTTCTTTTTTTTTTTTTCCAACATTTCTAACTTACTAGATTTTAAAGACATTTAGAAGAGCACGCCATGGCTATATAAATCCATGGATATATACACAGAGTCTGTCCCTGTTTTGTTTTGTTTGTTCATAGGGGAGATACAGATTTTGCAGTTAACAAAAGACAAGAGATGTTCCTGCATTTTGTGCTTGGGACCCAGCACTCTGCTCTATGGTAAAGGATGATGCATTTGTGGCGGCCAGCACAGGTGGGGCCTTTCAGCACAGTCACTAACATCTGTTCTCCTGTTACCTCCTTGCTGGTAACTCTGGTTGCTGGCAGCTACAGGAGTGCCCAGTGTCGGATGAATACCAGCTATGTGCCAGGTGTTAATTGAGGCACTATGAATACAGAGATGCTTCAGACATAGGTCTTGCTCTCAAAGAGCTCCAAGTTCATCTTTGGGGTGGACCCTGAGCCAGCCATCCTTAACCGGGACACTGGCCAGCTCTCCAACATACTAATTTCTTGCTCGCTCCCACCTCCCCAATCAAGGTCACTCCCAAGGTTAGCACAATGCATGACAGCCAGCAGTGCCCCCCAGACAGAGCCAAGGGCCTCTTGCCACCTTATGGACATCAGGCTTTCAGGTCAGGGGTGGGGGAAGAGGTGGCAATAAAGATGAGATCACCTTCCTCCTGTGTGACCCGGAAGAGAATGGCCGACAACCATCCCCGAGAAGGCAGGTCGTGTCTTCAGTCAAGGGTAAGCGTGTCTCCTTGCGTGATGACCCTGAGCCACAAATCCATCTGTCTGCGTCCACATCTGTATGCAGTCACCGATCCCCATGTCATCCCGAGTCCCTCGGCGCTCAGAGGTGCTGTGAGTCCAAGGGACACCGGGTGGTTCTTCCTCAAAGAGCGTTACATCTGTCTGAGGAAAATGCATGAGAAGGTCAGGAAAGGCCAGAGCTTGGCTGGGTGTGAGAGGGGGCTCAGGGCCCAGTGGACCCAGGGAGCAGAGTGCAGGCTGGGAGCCCAACTGCAGGCCCGCAGGGTCCCAGGAAACCTTCATGGAAGAGGTGGGCTTTGGGCCGTGTTTGGCGGGTGGGAAGCACTCCTGGGGGAGCTTCTTGTGAGCCAGAACTGCGGGTGCTCCAAACACAGTTCCTCTGTTGCCCCCTTGGGAAACAGAGGATCCAACCAGTGGTTCCGCTTCTGGCTGCTGTAGTCCCAACAGCCAGAAGCTCAAGGGTTCGGGCAGGCACAGAGCTACAGAGCTCGGTTTGTGACACTCATTTCCGACGGCGTCATCACAGTGTGAGGCCAGGGCCACGGCGTGCTGTCGGTACCTATGCCCAGCCATTCTGCCAGAGCAGCATGGTGGGGGCTGTCCTGGGGGGACCGCCGCCCCTCAGAGGCCAGGATCTGGAGCCTTCACGGGGAAGGTAGCACACTGGGACAGCACAGGCTCTAAGCCTGGCACAACGCACGTGGCCAAACACTTGCATCCGATTCTGGCAGAAGATCAACGAATTCACACGGCAGAGGAAATCTTTGAACATTCTGAATACGGGGAAATTTCCATTCATCTTGTAACTCAGAGTAGAGAGATTCCCCCATGAATGGCGTCAATGTAGGAAAATCCTCCTGATATCCTCCTGATAGCGGCAGTAGCTATCAGAGAACTCACGGGGGAGGGCCGGGGACACGGACGCAGAGAGCGCGTTAACAAAGAGCTCAGCCTGGAGCTCAACACACCGAAAAACCTGTATCTTCATTAGCGCAGTGGCGCTTTGAGAAAGCACAACTTGGCTGAGCCATTCTGGAGCTGAGTCTTTCACAGGTGATGAATCGGGGGTGATGATCAGTTCAGGAGGAATCAGCCCTCATTCATCACCTGAGGGCTTGGGCTGGAGAGAGGGCAGATGCTCATCGAGAATGAGGGGGACTGTTGGGAGTCCTCTGGCCTCGGGAAACTGGGAGGCCATGCAGGGCCCGTGGGAGGACAGTCAGCGGTACCTCAGAGCACAAGTCATATACAATGGTCATGGATGAGAAAAACACGGTTAAAGGGCCAATTTAGATAACGATTTTGTTGGAACTTGCACTTTTAGCACCTGTAATGTAATGACAGGCTTGGCCTGGAAGGAACGCAAACACCCTGTGGGGAGGCCGGTTCGGTGACAAGGTCATGCACCTGCGCCCCTGGGGTCCACTTGCCCTTGGGGGACCTGGTGCCTTGCAGGAGACAAGCAGAGGGGCTCCCGAGCTCTCAGCAGTATACTTTCCCACAGGGCCTCCGTGTCCCTGTTTCTTCACACTCCCGCCTCCTTCCTCTCCCGGCAGGCAGGTAAGTCCTGGCCTTGTGTCGGCCATGTGCCCACCTGACTCTGGTGTTGCCAAGGGGACAGGAGCCCACCTGCCCACGAAGAGGCCGGTGACCACCATTACCTTTGACAACTCACGAATGTGCCCCAGGGATGCTGCTGCGCCTGGACCATTCATCCATCCATTCAACAAATATCTTTCGAGCATCTGCTCAACTCTGTAGCTGGCACATTGTGCTGGGATCAAGTACAGTGGAGAAAGGAAGTGTCAGTCACAAGGGGCTCGGGCTACCCAGGGAAACAGGGGAGCCAGGGAAGCAGGAGCACCTTCGAGATTGCAGGGGTGTCTGTGTCCTGGGTTTCAGATGGGGCTTTGGAGAGAGTGCTGGGAAGGGAGGAGGAAGAACTCTAATCTAATGACTGCCTCCCACACGACAGGCTAGCATGTGCTTCTCTGAGACCCCTGCCTGTGTGACCCGTGATCTCTCCTTCATAAAGAAAAGAAGATGAGTGCACGGCTAGCAAGCGGCACAGCCGGTCTAGGTCTGTCTCACTCCTGATGCCACTGTCTGTCCATCAGCACTGGGAGAGAAAGGGTCCTTTAGCACCACTGTTCCTTGGGTAATGTTTCCAGAGGCTTCGGGGACAGTGAGAGGCCCCTGGTGAAACAGGAAGAAAGGGGACGGAAGCAGGGAAGGGCATTGGCTTTTGTAGACTCTAGTGGGCAGGGAAAGACATTCATTCATTCATTCCTCTGTTCATCCATTAGGAAAATCTTCACTGAGCCCTATGGAAGGCCAGGTGCTGTGCTTCGGTGCTAGGGACGTGAGTGAGCAAGATGGACACACTCCTGCCCTCATGGGACTTCTAGAAGGAGGCAGGCGATCCAACAGGCTACGTGTTTTGAAAGGGGGAGCCCAGAGGAGAATCCTGACCTTGACTCGCATCACTGAGGCTGACTTCTGGGAAGGGGCGACATGTCAGGGAAGACCTGAAAGATAAGTATCAACCTGGTGTGTGCTGGGGAGCGCCTTCCAGAGAACCACGATGGCAGGTCTGTGGATGAGGAGCAGAACGGGAAGGAGCTGACGTGGAGGGAGGGAGGCGAGGAGGGACCAGGTCACCTGGGGCTCCTAGAAGGAGCTCAGACTGGACCCAGCGAACAATAGGAAGCCGCGGAGAATGTTAATCTTGGGGAGGCCCTGCGCAGTCTTAGTCCATCCCTTCCCTGGAAGCCCGGAGAGGGCCGTCCAAGGATTCTTCACACCAGGGCAGATATAGTCGGTGTGTGGGTTCTGTCCTTTTTCTTCACTAACTAAGGAGGTTTTCCAAGAGGCGCCGCTAGCAGAGTGAGCTATAAAGCTCGAACTAAGTGCTGGTGCCTTGATCAAAAGGAGGAAACCTTTGGTGCGTGAAGGGCGGACCTGAGAGTCCCGCGGATCTTCCGGGCAGACGTGCGTGGGTGGGCACTCCCCTCTTGTGGCCGAAGCGGGTACTGCACCCGTGTTCCCATACAGGCCCGGCTCTAGGCTCTCCGTGGAGAAGCCCGGAAACGAGGCCGCGGCGGCGGCACAGAGCTGGGGACTCCGGGAAGTTTCCCACCTGAAACCTTTGTTTGTTTGTTTATTTTTGTTTTGTTTTTTAAATGAGAAACATGAACGGTGGATAAAATGTGTGTATATATATATATGCTTAAAATCACTGGTAACGCTGAGTGTCTTTCTAGCATTTTCTAAGCATAAAAAAAGACAGCGTTACCAGTGATTCTGGAATACGTGACTAAAAGTTTTCAATGTTCTTTATATGTATTTTAAAACTTGGACGTGTACTACTTTTGTTGATAAGAGGAGGGGGAAAGTATTTTGTTGTTTTTAAAAGGAGCAGAAGTGACAGAAAAGTGCCCCAAGAGGGGGGCTGAAGTGGAGGCCAGGTGGCCGGTGTGAGAGCGAGTGGCCTGGGCATGAGCCACTGCCCCGGCAGCCCCGTGTCTTTCCGCAGCTGCAAGGCGCCAGCGTGGCTGCTCACAGAGCCACGCGGGGACCAGGCTGCCTGGGGGCTGCCCGCCCGGCCGTTTCTGTCTAGCTGAGCCCTTCGGCTCACAGAGACCTGGGCTCCGGGTGCCTGCCCCTCTGTCTTTGTCTCAGGCGCTTGCCCTTCTCCCGTCAGGGTCGCACCCTCCCAGTCTGGTCTCACAATGGCCCCGACCGCCGGGTTCTGGGTGACCCGGCCGCATATTCCTCAGGCTCACCCTAGAGGATTCTCTGCTGTGTGAGCTCTGACGCAGGATGAGGGCTGGGTCTGCTCAGAAACTATAGAGCCACGCCTGTTCCATCCACGGGGTCTCTGCTAGGATGCCTTTTCCCGCCGGGGGCAAGGAGCTCACCTGGCTGGCAGTTCTGGTCTCTCTGGTCACCTTCCCGGCTCCTCTCTCGTCTCTCCTGCTCCAAACTCTTCTCTGGGGCAGGCCAGCTGCTCAACCTCCCCTCTGGGAGGTTCCCCGGACGCCGGTCTATGGGACTGGATCTGGGCGGAGGCCAAGGACACAGACCCCCGCCATTGCTGGGGTCATTCTTGACTGGAGAAGTCCGCAAGGAGGCTTAACTTGTGCCGTGGGAGGGTTATGTTTCAGATAAACTCTTCATGAGCTTAATTTCAGAAATGTTCTGAAATACACAAGTTTTTTGAAAAAAATAAAAGTCCCTTGATTATGGAAATTTTCAATCCCACTTTCATGTGTGTATATATATATATGCTTAAAATCACTGGTAACGCTGAGTGTCTTTCTAGCATTTTCTAAGCATAAAAAAAGACAGCGTTACCAGTGATTCTGGAATACGTGACTAAAAGTTTTCAATGTTCTTTATATGTATTTTAAAACTTGGAAGTGTACTACTTTTGTTGATAAGAGGAGGGGGAAAGTATTTTGTTGTTTTTAAAAAGAGCAGAAGTGACAGAAAAGTGCCCCAAGAGGGGGGCTGAAGTGGAGGCCAGGTGGCCGGTGTGAGAGCGAGTGGCCTGGGCATGAGCCACTGCCCCGGCAGCCCCGTGTCTTTCCGCAGCTGCAAGGCGCCAGCGTGGCTGCTCACAGAGCCACGCGGGGACCAGGCTGCCTGGGGGCTGCCCGCCCGGCCGTTTCTGTCTAGCTGAGCCCTTCGGCTCACAGAGACCTGGGCTCCGGGTGCCTGCCCCTCTGTCTTTGTCTCAGGCGCTTGCCCTTCTCCCGTCAGGGTCGCACCCTCCCAGTCTGGTCTCACAATGGCCCCGACCGCCGGGTTCTGGGTGACCCGGACGCATATTCCTCAGGCTCACCCTAGAGGATTCTCTGCTGTGTGAGCTCTGACGCAGGATGAGGGCTGGGTCTGCTCAGAAACTATAGAGCCACGCCTGTTCCATCCACGGGGTCTCTGCTAGGATGCCTTTTCCCGCCGGGGGCAAGGAGCTCACCTAGCTGGCAGTTCTGGTCTCTCTGGTCACCTTCCCGGCTCCTCTCTCGTCTCTCCTGCTCCAAACTCTTCTCTGGGGCAGGCCAGCTGCTCAACCTCCCCTCTGGGAGGTTCCCCGGACGCCGGTCTATGGGACTGGATCTGGGCGGAGGCCAAGGACACAGACCCCCGCCATTGCTGGGGTCATTCTTGATTGGAGAAGTCCGCAAGGAGGCTTAACTTGTGCCGTGGGAGGGTTATGTTTCAGATAAACTCTTCATGAGCTTAATTTCAGAAATGTTCTGAAATACACAAGTTTTTTGAAAAAAATAAAAGTCCCTTGATTATGGAAATTTTCAATCCCACTTTCTAGTGGGAGATACAATATTGTAGACTATTGTACAATATTACAACAAACTCTCATGTTCCCATCACCCGACCTCCGTAGCTATTCATTTCCTGCCGTTCCTGTTTCTAGCTCGCCCCACCATACTTTTGTGTGTGTGTAGTATTTTTTTTTTTCCCTTTCAGTATTTATTTGGCTGCACTGGGTCTTAGCTGCAGCACACAGGATCTTTGATCTTGATTGCAGCATGAGAGATTTGTTTTAGTTGTGGCTTTGAACTTAGGGATCTACTTCCCTGACCAGGGATTGAACTTGAGCCCCTGGCATTGGGATCCTGGTTTTAGCTACTGGACCAGGGAAGTAGGGAACTCCATAGGGAAGTCCCAATGGAGTATTTTAAAAATAAATCTTAGACAGTATATCTTTTTTCCCCCTGATATATAACTCAATATGTATCTCTAGTAGATTCAAATTAAATTACACCTGATGTTTTGGGGAATATATATAACAGAATAGTAATCTCCCGGACCTATCTCCCTCTCCAGTAATTATATGGTGGTTTAGTCTCAAAGTCACATCCGCCTCTTGTGATCCCGTGGACTACATAGAGCCTGCGAGGCTCCTCTGTCTATGGAATCCTCCAGGCAAGAATATTGGGGTGGGTAGCCACTTCTCCAGGGGATCTTCCCAACCCAGGAATTGAACCCCGGTCTCCTGCATTCCAGGAAGATTCTTTACCAACTGAGCTGGGAGGAAAGTAATCATGCCAATCTCCTTTTGTATACTCTCCCCTATCCCACCACATTTGATGTTTTCAAGGAAACCTCAGGCATCATTTCACCCATAAGATCTGCCGTGTGTGTCTTCAAAACGCTTTTTCTTTGTAAAGCATAAACCCCAATAGCATTATCACAACTAAAAATTTTGAACAGTAATTCCTTAATATCATCCATGTTCACATTTCCTTGATTAAAAAAAAAAAATCTTCAATTGGTTGTTAGAATCATGACCCAAATCAGGTCTACAGGTTGCATTTAGTTGACGGTCTCTTCAGGTTCACTTCCCTCTTAAAAAATTTTTTTTTTTCCATTTTTATCTTGTAATTTGTTGAAGTATTTCAGCAGTTTGTCCTTAGTACGAAGTGACACTTAACAGACGCTCGAGCGCCAACTCTGTGCCAGGCACTGTGCTTTGTGCTGGAAGTAAAGGCGCGAGCAGATCCGGGGCAAATCACTTGACACTCTCTGGACTTGGGTACCCCCTTCTCTAACAGTAAAGAGATTTGGACTAGATGCTGTCTCTAAAGGCTCCAATCTGATCCACTCGGATCCCCCCTCTCATCNCAGATCCGGGGCAAATCACTTGACACTCTCTGGACTTGGGTACCCCCTTCTCTAACAGTAAAGAGATTTGGACTAGATGCTGTCTCTAAAGGCTCCAATCTGATCCACTCGGATCCCCCCTCTCATCACTATGATCCACTGTGTGAGTCTCCGCAAATGTCAACCAAACTTATTCCCAGGGGGCGGCCGCCCACCTGCCTGGGTGATCAGAGGCCAAGGTGACGGCGGGACGGCGTCGCCCGGATGCCGCAAAATCGTTCTGCCAGCGGTGGCCAGCGGTATAACAGCAACCCTTCTGACCTTGAGTACTGGCCGGCCCTGCCCAACTACACTTCCCACAGTTCTCTGTGGCCAGCCGGTTACCACGGAGACAGGCTGGGCTCGTCGGCTCACCAACCGTCGGGGGTGATCGTGTGCAGATGAGCCTCCACTCTCCAAGGCTTCCGAACGGCCCGGTCACGCGCCCTCGCCCCTTGGTTCTGGTGCCCGAGGAGGCAGAACCATTCGATTGGGCCTGGGCCGTCGGGAGGCTGAACTACATTTCCCAGGAGTCTCCGGGCACACCCCGCTTCCGGTCGCGGGCCACCGAAAAGATAACAAGGAGTTGTCAAGGAGACCGGTCCGGGGGTATTTGGGGCCCTTAAGTCCGTGGACAGAGGAGCTGAAGACAGATAAGGACAAAAGAAATGAGGAGGATGGGAAAACTGGTTATAAAGCAACATAAGGTACACTCTCTCCTGTTTACCTTTTTAGTGTCCCCGGATGCTCAGGGTCAACGCGGGCGTCGCACAGCCCCCTGGGAAGTGTAGGCGGTGCTGCCCTAAGGGCTATGGGAAATGTAGTCATTGATTAACAGCCACTACCTGGCGCACCTACAGCCGAGGATATGGGATTGAGTCCTCCCTACCTCTCCCGTTTCCGCTCAAACACGTTTGTCTGTCCAATACTTACAGAATCTTTCCCTTTCTCTTCGTGCCAACCCTCAGTGCTGTATTTTAGACACACCCTTAAATCTATTCCCCGCGCGGCCACCAAAGTAATTGTCCCTGCTCTGCTTAGGACTCTTAGACAGATAATAAAATCAAGTCCATGTTAACCGGCTGGCATGATATATTTGACCTCTCACCTATTGTCTCCCACAAGTCTCCTCATAGATAAGAACTGTTCTCTTTAGATTGTTCATCTCATTTGTGTTGCTATCTTAAAGCCATTGCCACTTTTTTTTTTTTAATGCAGAGCACAACTTTTTTGCTTTTAACAGTTGCCCTCCCAAAGAGGGTGATAAATTCCAAGAGTAGCTGGATTTGCAAATTTTTTTTTTTTTTTGCAAAATATTCTTGAAAAAAGTATTTGAGTAGTTTTCTATCAGTAGAAACCACGTTCTTCATACGTTGATAAAATTAGTTTTATTTTTCCAAACAAAATATTTTATTACATGATCTGATTAACTTACCCCTAGATGTTTTTCCAAGTCTTATAAAGTCACCTGAAAGATTTATAAGATTTATTAAAAAAAAAAAACAACACGATGGTTCTTACATAAATTACTTTACAAAGCTCTGATAAGACTCTAAATATAAAATAGACGCGTTTCTCCGCCCCCCCCCCCCCACCCCCAACACTTTGAAAGTCTTAGGTTCTATATTTATGCTTGATCCAAAGAGCTGTAAGTGTGGAGTAAATCTGCCTGAGGCTTTAGAGAAAGGAGGCATACTTTTAAAGGCTATCAGAAAGCCTAGATAGGAATGAACTCTGTGGTGTAAAATGACAGATGAGGTGTTGCTCACATCAAAGCACCAAGAACTTGCCTTTTGAAGTGGGAATACTTGGCAGACACAATATTTCCATTAGCTTTTAACTTTGGTAGGAAGAATGGCTCAGATCATAAACGTAGAGAACTATTTACCTGATAAAGCAATTTAGAAGTCACAGTCAAAAATATGTAATCTCTTCTTAACATTCAAAAGCAGAGAGTTTCCTCCTTCCTCATTTATTTAATTTCTTTGGTTTTTAAAACATAGACGCCTTCATTTCTTGCCTGAGGAAAGAGTACATTTGTTGAAAAAGCTTCAGCCAAGGCCAGGATGATGCTGGGAAAGATTGAGGGCAGAAGGAGAACGGGGTGACAGAGGAAGAGACAGTCAGATGGCATCACTGGCTCAATGGACATAAGTTTGAGCAAACTCTAAGAGATAGTGAAGGACAGGAAGCCTGGCATGCTGCAGATCATCAGGTCACTAAGAGTCAGACATGACTTAGCAACTAAACAACAAGGCCAAGATGTTCATGTACTTCTGAGGAATCAGATGGGGAAGGCTGAAGTCAAGATCTAAAAGAACCATAATTCAGAATGGTTTTGTGTGGTGCAAATGCAGTTACCTTTTCCATGGATATCGGAGCACTGCTCTCATTAACTTTTACATGTTCTTTTGTTGTCAGCAAAATTCTACTTGTTATTATAGCCTACACTATGGATATAATGGTCTTCTGGTGTTCCAGAAAACATATAGTGATCTCCAGGAACATTCCTGAACAATTTCAAGATATGGACATTCGAGTTACAATGTGAGTTGTAGTTTTCTTTACAACCGAGAAAGCTTCAGAATGCTACTCGGTCATTTGATTGATTTCAAGACATATGATGCTAGATCTATGTGCCACATACTTGCAAACTATTTTCTGGATGGTTTAGCTTCAAAAGCGGTTGTTTTCCCTGCTGTTGTTGCTGTAGTTGTTGCTTTACTAAGTTCAGTCTCAAAGGGTGGCACTCTTGGCCAGGTCCACTTGTGGAACTCGTCTGCCCAGGTCCACGGGACAGTGGAAAGAGTTGGGGCATGGGGTCCAGGTCTGAGTCACTTGCTGAGTCACCTTGACCTAGTCGTTTGCCACTACCCCCAAACCTACTTCTTTTCTTCCATAATGCCTCCTTTTTAGTCACTCAGTCGAGTCCAACTCTGTGTGGCCCCATGGACTGTAGTCCGCCAGGCTCCTCTGTCCCTAGGATTTTTCCAGATAAGAATACTGGAGTGGGTTGCCGTGCCCTTCTCCAGGGGATCTCCCAGACCTAAGGATCGAACCTGGGTCTCCTGCATTGCAGGCGATTCTCTACCATCTGAGCCACCAGGAAGCTCCCATAATGCCTCAGTGAACAGCATATGTGGTAGGCTGAGTAATGGCCCCCAAAATATCAGGCGTGATTCCCTGTAATGCACATATCCTGTAAATGATACTTTACTTGGAAAAAGCATCTTTGTAGATGTGACTAAATTAAGGATCTTTAGATGGGGAGATTATCCTGAATTTCATGGGTGGGCCCTAAATGCAATTATAAGTGTCCTAATAAGAGTGCGGTAGAGGGAGATCTGAGTCAGGTACACAGGGTATTAGGCGATGTGAAGAAGGAGCAGAGAGAGATTTGCAGATGCTGGCCTTAAAGACTGGAGTGACGGCAGCTACAAATCAAGGAATGACGGCAGCCACCTCTACACTTGTCTGCCTTCTGATGCAGCCCCCCTGCTGTGGTCAGAGGGGCTTTTCTACCATGGAGATCCTACATCGATCTGCACTGAGCACCCTTCAGCGGTGCCTCAAAGCCTGACTCCTTGGTCGGGTCTGAGAATCCCGTCTCCATCTGACCCCTTGTCTGCTCACCCACACACGCACACCCAGCCACTTCCACACACTCCATCTCACTCACACACTCCCTTCTCCACCCACTGAGTGATGCTCCCACACGTCTAGGCTGTTTCACGCATCTGTGGCTCCTCACATCTGTGATACAGAGAAAGGGATCTTTTTTTTTAACAGTATTTATTTTTGGCCATGTCAGTTCTTAGTTGGAGATCTTTCATTGATGCACGTGGGGCTGAGTGGCGGCACCTGGGGCTTAGTTCCCTGACCAGGGATCGAACCCACATCCCCTGCACCGGGAGGTGGCTTCTTAACCACTGGACCTTCAGGGAAGTTCTGATCAATTAGTATTATTGCAGCTGTTATGTAAAGAAGATTTAACTACAGTTTGAGTTAGTGTAATCTCCTGTTTGTGTTCCTTGCAAAAGTTCCAACTGAGAGCAGGCCAGGAAGAAGGAATTCAAGCTAGGCTTAAAATGTGCTCACGGATGATCCAGACAGTTTACTACAAGTTTTGTTGTTGTTGTTTAGTCGCTAAGTCGCGTCTGACTCTTTTGTGACCCCCATGGACAGTAGCCCGCCAGGCTCCTCTGTCCATGGGATTTCCCAGGCAAAAATACTGAAGTGAGTTGCTATTTCCTTCTCCAGGGGATCTTCCCAACCCAGGGATCGAACCCACATCTCCTGCATTAGTAGGTGGAATTTTTTTTTTACCACTGAGCCACTAGGGAAGCCCTGATTTACTGGAACTGTCATTATCTGCCAATCTCACTCTCTCAACCAGCCCGCCCACATGGCCACATTTTATCCCTCTTCATTGTGAGAGTGAAACACAGCCAAGCATATTTATTCATCTCTTTTAAGTGTCTCTAATTTTCTTCTACTTTGAGTTGAAATGACATACATTTAACTTTTGATCTAATAATATATTTTTAGGTTGGCTATATTAAAAAATTCAGGAAGTAAAAATTATGAAAGAACAGTAATTCCCAAGATCACTAAAACACACTCACTGGTACAAATAAGATGTAAACTCGCCATTATTTGGTTATTCTGAGCATTAACTCCTTTAACCATTTTTATAGATTAGGTGTTATGACAGTATAACATAGTTTCCCCCGGTATTACACAAAGTAATATTTAAGAAGTAAATCCCCCTAAGAAAATAAAAAACTTTTTAGAGACTGTATATGTATTCTACCATTCAATGTGATATGGTGTCCAGATAGCAAGGACATTGAAGTAAAAATACAATCTTGGAGAAGTTAAATGCTAGTATTTTTCTAAAATGTCCCTAGGCAAATTGTACAGATTAAGGAATGAAAATCATATTTAAACCAATCCACGTTAATTAAACTATGGTTATACCACTGGGCTATGACAGGTACAATTCTGCAACTTTAATGACGTGACATACGGAAGGAGGCAAAAAAAAAAAAAAAAAAAAAAAACCACTTTGGTTTTTCAGTTCTTTGGAGAGATCTGGGGCAAAGGAATCAGAATTCAACAACAGGATTTTCTCAGCTGAACTAAGGATGGAGAACAGATAGTATGGAGTCAACTCCCTGGCTGACTGGTCTTTGGGGCAAATAAAGAAAATGCCTTCTACAGCCAAAGGGCAACGAGAACCTCTTAGGTGGATGGACTTCAGGCTCTGCACTGACATGAACTTCATTTGGGATGTGGAAGCTTCCAGATGGAGGCTGGTCAGGTAATAATGGACATCTCTTCCCGGTCTCTGCTCTCGGACACTGAGTTGATTATGCTTCTTAAATACTTTATGAATTCCATCCTGATCTCTTCCGGGTCATCCTCAAGATTTGAGTGTACCAGCTTCAGCTTGTTCAAGGGTGGTGCTTAAAAAGGAAAATAATGTAATTAGGCATAAACTTTTAAAAAATGAATTACATTATTTAGCTGCACCAGGTCTTAGTTGCAGCATGGGGGATCTTTGATCTTCCTTGCGGCATGTGGGATCTCTAGTTCCCTGACCAGGCATCGAACCTGGGCCCTCTGCATTGAGAGCATGGAGTCTTAGCCACTGGACCACCAGGGAAGTCCCTAGGCCATGAGCTTTAAATGAGGGGCTATTTCTAGCTCCAAAGGACCTAAGTCTTCCAGGAGCTAATTTATTTAACTTTCCCAAGTTCAAAAATAAAGTGGGGCCTCTGTGACACAATTTCACAGAGAAAGGTTTCACTACCCCCAGCAATAGGCTCACAGCTCTGCAAACCACTTTCAGGCCTTCTTGGTTCTTATACCAGAGAGGAAGGTATTTCTGAATTTTCTGAGTTGTCTTCCATGATTACTTTGACACCCTCTCTAATGGTCTGTCACATGCAGATTGGAGCTTAAAGGCAAGTCAGGAAAGAGTGTCCCCAATAGTATGGATGAGGGGTTAAAACCAAGTTTTTTCCCCCTCTTAGTGTCCGTCTGCTTTTACAGTGTCTGCATCCTGGCCTGGGTGGTATAGTAGATCTACTAACCCAGCAATTCTGATTTATATGGTGAGGAAGACAAATGGCTAGGACACAGTAGGTGCTCACAAACTGCACAGAGCTGTTGACTTCCAAGACACAAAGCAACATACAAATGCCCAGAGCATTTCAGACAAAAGCCAGAACTCCTGGCTCCTTACCCAATGCTGGGTTTTCTTTGTCACTTCCAGAGCCTGGCTTGTGGTGTGCAATTAATAGACACTGAGTATTCTGTAGGAACTGCTGCTGGACGAAGCAGGAATACCACATCTCAATTTCCTTCAGGTGACTTGGGATGTCGGCATTGAAGACGATCACCACTCCGTGAGAGTCCTTCATCAGGGCTGGCCAGCAAGACTCGAACCTGCATGGGGGGAAAGGTAGGTGGCTCTGGTTTCTGTGTCTTGTTTTTAATGTTTTGTTAGAGTCTAGTTAATTTACACTGTTAAGTTTCTGCTGTACAGCGAAGTGAATCAGTAATAAATATACATATGTCTACTTTGTGTTAGATTCTTTTCCCATATAGGTCATTACAGAATATTGTTTCCTGTGCTAATACAGTAGGTCCTTGTTAGTTGGTCTATTTTATATATGCACGTTAAGTTGCTGTAGTCGTGTCTGACTCTTTGCGACCCTATGGACTGTAACCCACCAGGTTTCTCTGTCCATGGGATTCTCCAGGCAAGAAGAGTGGAGGGGATTGCTGTGCCCTCCTCCAGGGGGGTCTTCACGACTCAGGGATGGAGCCCGAGTCTCTTATGTCTCCTGCATTGGCAGGAGGGTTCTTTACCACTAGTGCCACCTGGGAAGCCCCATTTTACTGTGGGTGTGTCAATCCCCATCTCTCAACTTATCCACCACTCTTTCCCCACCTGCTAACCATAAGTTTGTTTTTTTACATATGTGATTCTATTTTGTAAATAAGTTCATTTGTACTTTTTTTTTTTTTGTAAGATTCCACATATAAACAGCAGTTTGAGTTTCTAATCATGGACTTTGAAAATAATGTCTAACAACTAATCATGGATAGATGACCTCTCACTGTATCATAACCCTGTCACTGACATTTCAAGAGCAATGCATGTTACCAGTCATTGATCAAGCACCAGACACGTGTTAGGAAGGGTGCTAGGCCTCAGTCCAAGGTGCCTGGTGGGCAGCTGATTTTTGAATCATTTGATGGAGCCAGTGCTCTAAAGGAAACGTACTTTGGATCGCCGCCACAATCCCAGAGCTCAAATTCACACCCCGTGCCTTTGTTGTTGCTGGTAATTTGTGGGTTCTCGAATTCCAGGATCCTAAAGATAAAACAAGAGCAGCACCTCTCCTTAGGAAACACTGTGCTTTGGGGATGCCACTGGCATCAAAGTCAGGAGGCGAGTGAGGAGCAGGGACTCTGGGACATGGGTTTGTCAGGGCTCACCTCACTCCTTGGGTTGGGTTGTATTCAGTGATGTCAGAAGATTCTGTCAGAAAGTTGGCCAACACGGTTTTTCCACTCTATGAAAACAAAGACAGTAAAAGATCTTGGACAGTAAAAGAAGAGCAGAAAAGTCAACCACAAGCAAGGCCTCCAAAAGCCAGGCTGGACCCAGGTGGGATGGAGTAGAGGCCACGGCCACCCTGAGATCACCCAGCGCAAGGGGTTCTCTCTGGTTGGGTGCTGTGCCCACTCTGGGTCGTGGGGAGCACAGATTTCAGTGCTGGCTCTGCTGCTAGGTGACTTTACTCACTTCCAAGCAGGGGGAATAGCTAGTTTAAAGGCACCAGGGCAGGAATGGATGTGACACATTTAAGGAATAGAAAGGCTGGTAGATTTGAAGAGCAGCAAGGGAGGAGATACATAAATGCAGAAAGATATTTTGTTGTTGAAGCGAGATGATGGGTACTAGGATTCGTCCTTCTTTCTCCCCTTGTATATGTTTGGGAATTTCCTTTAAAAAAAGATATATCTATGCTTGTTTTGCTTTTCATAATTCTGAGCATATGTTGTGACCTGCCTATTTAATAGTTGACGTCTTGGAGAGTTCTCTGTGTCAGTTTATTTGCCTTATTTTGTTTCACTCTTGCAGTATCTTCCAAAGTAAGAATGTACCTTAGTTTATTTAGACATTCTCTGATTGATGGGCACCTGGGGTGTTTCCACCTGTTCAATATTGTATAGACTCATGGGGAATGTGGATGGATCTTTAGTTTCAGAGATTGAGAAATGTAACTACTACACTATAAGCTATGCACGTTTTAAACCTTAATAATTTGATCTCAGAAAAAAAAAGGTGTTATCAATTTATAGTCACATCCACAGAATCCTAGAATACTCCTTTCTCTCAAAGCATCCTAAGATTGCATGCTGCATGCCTGTGTGCTCGGTTGCTTCATTTATGTCCGACTCCCTGCGACCCCATGGACTGGAACCCACCAGGCTCCTCTGTCTATGGTGATTCTACCGGCAAGAATCCTGGAGTGGGTTGTCAAGCCCTTCTCCACGGGATCTTCCTGACCCAGGGATCAAACCTGCATGAGCAGGCAGGTTCTTTACCACTGGCACTACCTGGGGAGGCCGATGGGCAAACGATTTAAGGAATAGAAAGGCTGGTAGATTTGAAGAGCAGCAAGGGAGGAGATACATAAATGCAGAAAGATATTTTGTTGTTGAAGCGAGATGATGGGTACTAGGATTCGTCCTTCTTTCTCCCCTTGTATATGTTTGGGAATTTCCTTTAAAAAAAGATATATCTATGCTTGTTTTGCTTTTCATAATTCTGAGCATATGTTGTGACCTGCCTATTTAATAGTTGACGTCTTGGAGAGTTCTCTGTGTCAGTTTATTTGCCTTATTTTGTTTCACTCTTGCAGTATCTTCCAAAGTAAGAATGTACCTTAGTTTATTTAGACATTCTCTGATTGATGGGCACCTGGGGTGTTTCCACCTGTTCAATATTGTATAGACTCATGGGGAATGTGGATGGATCTTTAGTTTCAGAGATTGAGAAATGTAACTACTACACTATAAGCTATGCACGTTTTAAACCTTAATAATTTGATCTCAGAAAAAAAAAGGTGTTATCAATTTATAGTCACATCCACAGAATCCTAGAATACTCCTTTCTCTCAAAGCATCCTAAGATTGCATGCTGCATGCCTGTGTGCTCGGTTGCTTCATTTATGTCCGACTCCCTGCGACCCCATGGACTGGAACCCACCAGGCTCCTCTGTCTATGGTGATTCTACCGGCAAGAATCCTGGAGTGGGTTGTCAAGCCCTTCTCCACGGGATCTTCCTGACCCAGGGATCAAACCTGCATGAGCAGGCAGGTTCTTTACCACTGGCACTACCTGGGGAGCCCGATGGGCAAACGAGTGTCATCTTTTTGTTTTGTGTTCCTGTGACTCTGAAGTCTTTTCATACTTCTCGGTCAGTTGTATTTCTTATACACAGACTTTGCTAGATTATCTATTGAGTTGCTTCTTACTTTCTTTACTGATTCTTAAACTTTCCTGTTTTTTTTGTCAAGCATTTTGCTAATATGTTCCCCTGGCTTTAACTTTGCTGTCATTTCTTCTACAGTTTCTTCATGTTTGTGTTGTGTTTAAGACAACCTTCCCTGACTCCAGATTAAAAACATGTCTTTCCATATATTCATCTACTACCATGGTTCCCAGCGAGTGGTCCCTTGACAACCCGCATGGACAAAATACAAATTCTCAAGTCCCTCCCAGACCTACTGAATCAAAACTCTGGGGTAGGATCAGCAAGTTGTACTTGTAACAGGCCTACCAGGCAATTTTGACGGGTGCTGAAGTTGGAGAGTTATTTATTTACAACTTCTACAGTTGTTTTACACATTTAGCGTTTCAGTCCATCTTAATTTTATTCTTGTGTACGACGTGACCTACACATAGATTTACCCCCGCCATCACCACACACGTTAAAGGCTAATTGTTCCAAGACCAGGTAATGGTTCAGTCCTTCCTCCAGGTTTTCTTGCTCCGCTGATGTATTTCATTAGGGAAAGCCACAGGCGCAAAGGAAAGTCGTGAGATCTAGGCTCTGATCACAAACGCCACTCACTACCATGGGCCTTTGGGCCTCAGTCCAACAGGGTCAAGGCCTGGGAACGCCGAATTCCTGGTGAAGCCAGCAGCACACACCAGGGTGGAACCGGGGGGCCGGGCTCCCAGAGGGCTCTGGGGTGGTATGCCGCCAACTTGATGCGAGGCGTGGGCTTTGGGTTCGAAGTGGGCAGCAAGGCAAGAAGGTAGAAGAAAAGCAGAAAATCCGGATGCAGATTCGCTTCTGAGTGGGGAAGCCCGTAGAGCTTGCGAGTCAGACCTCTCTTTGTGGGGAGGAGATCGACTGCAGGTCCCCGATCTCCTTTATTCCTCCTTGTAACCCCCAGAGCTCAAACGGGTCAAGTAGCTGGTGAGGTGGGGTTGGAACCAGGTATCTGACGCCTGTATCGCTCTGGCATGATACTGTCCATGTTGAGAACGGATTTATCATATCCCTAGCCCAGTCTAGGAAAGGTCAGGGAAAAAACGAATCTATGCAAAGGTCCACTCACTGTCATTTGGATGATTTGGGAGAAACCAAAAGGCCCTGGCCTGACTTACTGATAGCGCAGGGGTCGAAAGGCATTGTTGCTCCATTCCGTTTATTTTTGGTGAGGTTTATTTTAGGTCAGTTTATTTTTGTCTGTGCTGGGTCTTTGTTCCTGCACGGTCTTTCCTCTCCTTGCTGTGAGCAGGGGCTACTTACTCTTCCTTGCAGTGGGATGGCTCCTCTTATCATGAAACATAGGCTCTAGGGTCTCCGCTTTAGTAGTTTCAGCTCCAAGACTCTAGAGCACAGGCTCAATAGTTGTGGAGCTCAGGGCTTAGTTGCTGGGCTGCATGTGGGGTCTTCTCAGTTCAGGGATTGGACCCAGGTCTCCTGCATTGGCAGGTGAAGTCTTTACCACTTAGCTACTAGGAAGCCCCTTAGGTCAGTTTTAAATTACAGAACCCTCCAGAATTTTGAGTGAGGCCATGAAATTGTGTCTATATGTGGAGAGCGTCAATACAAAATATGCTAGTCCCCCGAAACTGCTGTTAATAGTATGACAACAACAACAATAAAACCAAAATAAGTTTTGGTCCAGTGGCTAAGACTCCGTGCTCTCAAGGCAGGGGCCTGGGTTCCATCCCTGGCCCAACAGTTGGATCCCACATGCCGCAACTAAAGATCAGCTAAAGATTCCACATGCCACCAGGAAGATCGAAGATCCCAAGTACTACAACTGGAAAGAAAAGAAAAAAGAACTCAAAAAGATGTCATTCAGTAAATATATTTTGAATACCTACTGTCTTCTTCTAGATACTGGGGATGTGCTGGTACCTCTTGAAGCTTTGATTCCAGTGGAGTAGATGGATATCAAGTAAAACAAAACTGTATGCTCTCAGATAGAGACAATTTTAGATATTAACAAGTGCTATGAATAAAAATAAATCACTAAATAGTTAAATTTTCCAAGTGTGGCTCAGTGATAAAGAATCTGCCTGCCAAGCAGGAGATGCAGGAGACATGGGTTCGATCCCTGGGTCGGAAAGATCCCCTGGAGGAGGAAATGGCAACCCACTCCAGTATTCTTACCTGGGAAATCCCATGGACAGAGAAGCCTGGCATGCTACAGTCCATGGGGTTGCAAACAGTCGGACCCGGTGTAGCAACTTAACAACAACAACAAAGGAGTTAAAGTGTGTGAAGGAGCCAGTTTCGGATGGAGTAGTTAAGGCAAGACCTTGGTGCAGAGGTGACATTAGAGCAGAAAACTGGGTGAAGAGATGTCTCAAACGAAGCATGTGAAAGATCTAGGGTAAGAACACTCCAGCAGAAGAACAAGGGCAAAGCCACAGAGGTGGAAATACACTTGGCATGTTCCAAAAATAGCCAGGAACCCGGCTGGAACCCCGGTGGAGGAAGAAATAAGGGGAGAGTGGTAGGAGATGCTTTTGGAGAGACCATGTCAGGCTTTGGGAATTCATCCTAAGGGTGATTGGAAGCCTGCGCCAGGGTTGTATTTGGCTCCGTGTCATAGAAACTTCACCACAGCGACTTAACCAAATAAGGGATTTATTATTTTCTCACATAACCAGGAGTCCAGGGATGGGCATACAGGGGCTGAGGCAGCTGCCTTCTCCTTACTTTCCTGACATCTTTGTTGTGGCTGCTCTCCTATTGTGTATCTGCTTTCTAGGCAGGAACAAAGGAGAAGAGCAAAGGTCGAAAGATACAGAGTGGGACTTCCCTGTGTGTATCGCAGTGGATGGGAATCTGCCTGCAATGCAGGGGACGGGGGGATCACTTTCTGGTCCAGGAGGATCCCACATGCCTTGGAGCAACTAGGCCCTTGAGCCCCAACTATTGAGCCTGTGAGTCACAACTACTGAGCCCATGCTCTAGAGTCTGTGTTCTGCAACTGCTGAGCCCCTATGCCACAACTACTGAAGCCCATATGCCCTGGAGTCAGCACGTTGCAACTACTGAGCCTGCAACTACTTCAGTGCTGCAACTACTGAAACCCATGCACCTAGAGCCTGCGCTCCACAACCAGAGAAGCCCGAGCACTGCAGCTAGAGAGTAGACCCTGCTGTCTGCAACTAGAGAAAGCCCACGTGCAGCATCGAAGACCCAGTGCAGCTAAAAATAAATAAATAAATAGAAAACAGATACAGCGGTGTGTACATATCAAAAAAAGTTAAAGCCAAATGAACTTTTAAAAAAAATGCAAAGGACAACAGACTCTGCTTTTCTAAGGAAAATAGTGGCTTCCTTAGAATCCCTATCCAGGAATTTCTCATGTCTCATTGGTCAGAACTGTGTCACGTGGCCTCCCTCACTGCAAAGGAAACTGGGAAATAGAGGTTGCAGCTTTGCAC